GAATAAAAAACAATCATTTCTGAGTAGAAATTATTTTCAAGAACAAAATGGTTACCAAACACACCCGTAGTGTCCTTGTCCCTTAGATTTTAGTATTAGAATTAGTTTAGGATGTGTTTGTTTTGCGGAAAATTAACCATTTCAGGAAAATACTTTCCATGAAATCATTTTCCAGGAAAATGAGTTCATTTTTCGGTGTTTGGCTAAAACTTAAAAAGGACTTGGAAAATATTTTCAGTTGTTTGGTGAGGAAAATCTGACTGTGAAAATTATCAAAAAAAATTGTATTTTTTAAATTATTTCAAATTATTTGCTATTTTTAAATTACTTTTATTAAGAAAAGAAAATACATGAATGTTTTCCTTCTTAGAAAGAAAAGAAAAAGAAAAGAAAAAATATTAATAAATTCAAGATGAGCAATTCCAAAAAGTATTTTTACCTTTTTAGATTAGGAAATTCACTTTCATAAAATTAAACATGATATTTATGTTGACCGGAAAGAATTTTCCGTTGACCAAATCATTTTTAGAATATCAAATGGATGAAAGTCCAGAAACACTTTCCGAGAAAACACTTTCACCAAAACAAACACATTCTAAGCTCATAGGGGTTGCCGTCATAGGAATTAATGACAAGGCCATGTAATATTCTTTGCCCAAATCATAACGGGTTACTTATTGCACTATATCTTTTGCTCATTCTTCATTACTTTCTTAGATCAATTGATTGTGTGATTCTTTTATATTGTTTTCCTATGATGTGATATGCTTTCTTTAGCTTAATGGTTAGGTTACCTTTTTGGATTAAAATAAACACCAATAAAAACATCGCATGGACACCTAGCGGGCAGGAACTTTAGGACTCATAATTGGCAAAAAGATTGCATGAATTCTACAAATAATCAAGTTTAGGTGTTGAAATCGCACTAGTTAGAATTATCGTAGATAAGTCACCGAACCTAAATCTCTATTTGCATAGGAAGTGAGGTATACTTCCATACATCATTTGATTTTTAGCTGCCCTCAATAGACTAGTGACGACTCCTCGTATTGAATTTTCACAAGGTTAATTGAAACTAAAATTGAATATTTCACCGTCGTGCTAGGTAAGGGGTTTGGGAAAACCCGCACCGAACAGGGACTGTTGGTTCACCTCTAGCATTACATCTAAACGTCGTAAGGGAAAAGAGGGCCACGATAGCTTGGTGACTTCACTAGAACACAAACGAGGTTAGAGGTAATGTCAAGTTGGGTACCAACGATCCTAAATAAGCACGAGTTCTCCCAAACCCTTACCTCGCTCGATGTTGGAAATGAATTTCGATTAACTCTATCAAAATTTTAAATGAGGAGTTGTCACTAGCCTACTGGAGTTGGCTAGAAGCCAAGTAAGGTATGGGAGTATACTTCACTTCCTATGAAACCAGAGATCTAGGGTTGGAGACTTAATTACACTATTTTTTTTTGGTCAACAATTATACTAATTATATAAATAGTGCCTTTTTTGTACATAAAATTGAATGTTTGTTAACTAAAGTGTCAATGAAGTCATCTTATCTAATTATGAGTCCTAAAGGTCATTCAAGCCGCTAAGTGTCCATGCAATGGTTTTGTATTTCTTATGGTCATAGGATGTAACCTAACCATTCAACTAAGAAAATGAATCAAAGCACACAAACGATATAAAAACAATCACAACAAACAAATCAAGAATAGTAATGAAAGTGAATAAAATGGTGAAGTTAGTAAATAACTCAATACGAGTTGGGCAAAGAATATAACATTGCCATATTATTAAGCCCTTAGACCGCAATACCATGAGCTACAATCGAATCGAATCCAATTCCTTGTTTAAAAGATCAATCTACCAAGACTAAATTATAGCAAAGGTTACTAAAATCTCTAAACTGTATGAATATCAAATAAATGAAATTATGCTAATACTAATACTAAAATCTAACAACCTAAACAAGGTCTATTTATCTAACCAATTTTCTAATTTTTTTATTCATTCTTTTTTTATTAATTTTTTATTCTCAGTCCATCTTCTCCCATGAATACGCAAGCTTCTCCTTTTCCTGTCTCTACCCAGGACACTAATTCAAATTTTCCACCTCAAATCCTCGGCCAAATATTTATCCACCTCTATTCAAGTAACAAACATACAAAGTTACTTATCCAGAATCTATCAAACCATTCAAATCAGAATTCTCTCGACTACAAAACATCGTCCTTGAAAACTCACTATAGCTGAACATTTCAAGATAGGACAAACAGCATATAAACTCGATACACAGAATCACCCACCCAAATCTTAAGCAGAGAACAATGTACATACGCTTGACCCCGCCATTGATCATCACTTACCATCACCAGACTTACAGCCTTTCAACATTTACTACTGTATTTTTGCCAAAAAGCACAGGGATACGGATATCGAAAATGGAACCACAACAGAGAAACTGACTCAAATATCACCAGAGATCAAAGAGCGTATCAGTGATTCCAGTTCATGTTCTCACCACAATCGCCATCAACCAACACCGAGACATACAGACAAGAAAACAGACAGAGCAAATATACAGAGTGCGGGGAGAGCCTCGACAACGGGTTCCAATAATTCCCAACAAACACCATTGCCCTTTTGCAGGTGCGCGGCATATCCAGTAAAGATAATCATTTAAGCATGACCAGAAGAGGATGACAGGTTTGATCCATTAACAAGTATGTGAACATCAGAATCTATATCATTCTATTCCAATTGAGCGAACGGCACTGATTTAGTTTAAGCTCCGGCTCGAATACACTAGCACTCGACAGATAGAACACCAGAAACGAAAAATGGAACACGATCAGAAAGGCCACATATATAATAGAAGTCCAGTGCCGCTGAAGATGGATCAAGAAGCTTTGAGTGATTCAAGCATCTTGATCGGATAACAGAGTAGAAAAGAGGAAGTACAGTCCAACGAGATCAATGACAATTCAGAAATTCTGAAGGAATCGACAAGAAAATATAGATTCCGAGCGGATAGCATCGCTAGAGTTGAATTCCTGAGCTGACATCGTCCATGGAACTAGAGCTGGCTGAGCAGACGATGGCGACACGAGCAAGATTATCGAGAAATCAATATGGAAACCAGAGAAGGAGAGAGAACTTAGCTTTAATTTCATAGCAACAGTAGTTGTGGTCGTCAGAACAGAGACCTATAGGAGTCGCAACTGAACATCTCCGGAAAAGTGGCTAAGTCGCGGTCAAGGAAGAAGAACTGCGACGATCGGAATGAGTCGGAGGCAACAGTCATTGGAGGTAACGCGATTCTAAAACGGCGGAGAAGAGCGAACAAGAGAGAGAGAGAGTATTTCTCGTGCGTCCGTGGTTTTTCAGTGTAAAATTTGTTAGAGGAAAGAGAGAAAACCTAAATATTTCTAGAGGCTCTAAAAGAAATTCTAGGAATTCATTGAGATTATTCAGGAATACACATTGAATGCTAAGATTACGCGTTGAATTTCTGGTAGTAGATCCATAATAAAAAAAGTGTTTGTGATTGTTCCAGAAGAACTTAAACAAAAGATACAGTAGAGCTAGAATAGTTATTGTACGATGCTTCAATGATCGGGCCTAAGGTATCAATATGCTAGCAAAGCCCATATTTTAATGTGAGAAGTGACTCTGTAAGAGGAAAATCAACTTTCCGTCTATTAATAGATTATCATTTCTCCACATGAAAAAAACTTCCACATGAAAATTAGGTAAGTGATTATATTAAGTGGTGAACTCAAAGTGTTGCTCTGGCAAAAACGAATTATACTAAGTCAGTTTTTTAACATTGTTAGTAACTTTTCACCATGGAAAGCAGGCATGTGCATGTCATCACTACTGATTTTGTCATGATGAAAAGTTACTCTGCTTTCAAACTGTTTAAATTTAGTAACTTGTCCACGCTAATGGTCACTTTTATTTGGAGACGTAAGTATGAGCATATCAGTGGCTAGTAATTTCTTGATGTAGTTAGTAATTCTACCTTTGAAAGTTGCTATCCATGTGATTTACGAATGCCCATAGAAAAAAAAAAGTGACTATCGATATATTTATAATCATTTCTATGCAGATTGGGTGCTTTTCCACAAAAAAAAGAAAAAAAAAAAAGAAAAGGTGATATAGTAACTGTACCAAAATGTGAAAATAAAAGAAATGATAGTAGTAAACTTCAGAAATAGCAACGCTGAAGAATTTGCACTTGCACCTCGGAAACATCAAATACACACAAGTTACATTATTCTACTGAAGCTTTCCAAAAAAAGATCAATACGCCAAGGACTAGGCTTCAATTTATTAGATTTGTTGCTAAGATATCGGTATTAAATCCGAAACTCCCGGCCGATGGCTAGTGACCCAAGGAAACAAAAGAATCGGTTACATTTTTCATACAATCTCCTCTTATAGATAAAATAAAAAAATCGAAAATTCTCGGATAAGTCCTGCTCCTCGCGTCAAGCGTCGATACGTATCCTCCAATTACCACATGCTAGAGTGTTGAATCCGAGAGCTATACATCCTTCTTCACCCACCAGAGCAACAATATTGCCTGCACCGATTGAACATAGCTTTATGAACATAGACCAATTCCTTAAATTGGATTATTTCGAAACAAAGTGGCAAGCCATTCCAAGTCAATATGTAGAAACCAAGCTCTACTTTTAATAAGATGACCAATAGCTAATTGAGTGCAATTCGTCTTAATGCGCATCATGCAAATGAAAAGAACAAAAAATGCAAAGCAATTAACTTTGTCATTTTTAAAAACTAGGGCACCAAACTAGAGTTTTGAGTAAATTGACAGTACCCAAGAATATGTGTACATTTGAATATGTGCAAATACAGATGGGGAATAATGATCAACTATTATCTTAAGGAAAAGAGAATGATTAATTCTCTCTTCAATTATAGATTTTACCTGTCCGATTCCATTTGCATAAACAACACTGAATGTATAACTGCTAAAGAGAAGCTCTTAAGACATCATCTTCTCCACGTAAACCCAGTGCAAAGAGTTTCTCCCTAATCTGAGACAACTGATTTACAACTCCGCCGATGCTCATCCGTCTTCTAGGCACATCGTATGAACAAGCAACTCCAATATTATATACCATGATCAAACATTCTTGAAATATGCCATCATTTTTGGAAGACCAATGATGAGGATTATAGATGCCTAGATGGCTCTTTCTTTCCTGAAGTAATATGTTGTCCGTAATTTCAAGCACTCGTTCAGGCAAAGCTTCTGTTACAAAATTATGAAGAGTAAAATTGTCTCTGAATGTGTTATCAATGGGACTCAACCCTGTGAACATCTCCAATAAAAGAATGCCGTAACTATGGACGTCGCCTTCTCTTGAAACCTCGCATCCCATTGCATATTCTGCCACACATTTAGATCATAGTGCAGGTCAAATTGGAGCGCGGATCATCAAATCAGAATGTAATGTGCATAAGACTATAAGAGTTATCATTAGCTACCAAACTTCGCCAGGAAGACCCGTCGATAACTTTTAGGTAAATAAAAAATATATATATATATATAGAGAGAGAGAGAGAGAGAGAGAGAGAGAGAGAGAGAGAGAGAGAGAGAGAGAGAGAGAGAGAGAGAGAGAGAGACTTGGAGGAGCATAACCAATTGTCCCTCTAAGACCCACTGAAGTCATCTGATTAGCTACAATATCAAGGGATGATCCAAGAAGGAATTTCGCCAATCCAAAATCGCCAACATGTGCGACCATCTCAGCGTCTAAGAGGATATTGCTTGGCTTTATATCACAATGAATGATGGGGATGTGGCATTGGTGATGAAGATAATCCAATGCAGAAGCAACACCAATAGCAATATTTATCCTTTGAATGAAATTCAACTTTTTTGGAAGCTCATTTCCATGAGATGGTGTTGCGTTTGGGTGTAGCCACCGTTCTAGGCTTCCATTGCACATGAATTGATAGACTAAGGCCTTAAAATCATTTCCTTGATAATCACTACTTGAGCAAACCGTCAGTATCTTCAAAAGATTTCGATGTTTGATGTTCTTTAATGCCTCACACTCGACTATGAAGCTCTTTAGAGCACCGTGACGAACTAAATGAAGCACCTTCACAGCAACAGCGATTCCATCATCCTCGAGTATCCCCCTATAAACAGAACCAAAGCTTCCAACGCCGATTAAATTCATTGAAGAAAAACCATCGGTTGCTTTTAGGAGTGTTTGATAAGATACGTTCGGACGTGAATTATCCATAGAACTTGAAACTGGTTCATTTACATTCTTCTTCGACCAACCAAGACATATAAAAACTAGAATAAGAGATATTCCAAGAACTCCAAAAATAACAGAAGTAGACAATATCACTATGTTGATCTTTTTTCTCTTGCTTTTGGAGATGCAGTTAGGGAGGTGAAATTCCGGTGGTCCGCCGCAAAGCCCATTGTTTCCAATAATAGAAGTACTTGTAGCATTTTTAAAGACTCCTTCACGTGGTAGCATGCCTTCAAACTTATTGTATGATAAATTCAGAAGTTTCAAGGAACGAAATACAGCTAAGAATTCTGGAATCTGGCCTGACAAATTGTTGCATGAAAGATCTAGTTCTTCAATGCCTCCTAACGATCTAATTGATCGAGGAATCGACCCGTGGAAGAAGTTGCGACCCATCCTTAGTGATGTCAATGATGTGCAATCACCTAAACTACTTGGGATCTCACCTACCAAAAAATTGTCCGAGATGTCCAACATAGTCAAAGTTCTCAAGTTGCCAACTTCTGTGGGTAGAGCTCCAATCAGGTGGTTACGAGACAAGTCAAGAATGATAGCTAATGATGAGAGACCAATAAGCTGCCGGGGTATGGCACCACTGAGATTGTTATTAGACAGATCAAGCATATTAAGAGACCGGCACTTTGATATATGGGAAGGAATTTGCCCATGAAAGTTGTTCCCACTAAGATATAGTTGAATCAACTTGGTTAGATTTCCCAAAGAAGATGGGATGGTCCCTCTGAGGTTGCTATAGCCTAACTCCAACATCTCTAGATTTGGTAGATTCCCAAAATTTGAGGGGATAACACTTGAAAACTGGTTCATACTCATACGCAATGCTTCCAAATTGACTAAATTCCCGATTTCTTTTGGAATCTCACCGGATATTGGATTCTGGCTTGCAACAAAAATTTTTAGAGTGGTGGATAAATTACCTATGCATTTAGGTATCACCCCACCAAAATTGTTCTGGCTAATTAACATGAACCTTAATTTGGTGTTGTTAGTTAATGAGCAAATGAAGCTCAAGTCTTCAGGTTTTCCACTTCCAAGCTGATTAGTAGAGATTTGAAGCGCACTAAGCTCATACAAATTTTCCAAAGAAGGTACTTTTCCGGAAAATCTGTTAGATCCAAGTTGAAGCCTGCCCAGCTTTGTGCAATTCGATATCGAGAGAGGAATTGGGCCCTCAAGTTGGTTCATTGAAATGGAAAAAAATTTAAGATTTGGGAGTTTGAGGCCTAGGCGTGCAGGAAGAGTCCCCTGTATCCGGTTCAATCTAGTAGCAAACAAAACTAGCGAAGAGAGATTAAATAATGAAGATGGAATTGTACCCGACAATATGTTTGTTTCAAGGGAAATCTGTTGCAAGTTTGTCAGGTGGCCTAGAACTTGAGGAATGCGCCCACCCAAGTTGTTCCTGGATAAATAAAGGACCTTCAATGAAGATAAGTTCCCAATGGAGGAAGGCACACTCCCGATAAGATTATTAACAGACAAAACGAACTCCTGTAGCTTTGGCAATGAACCGAGCTCTGCAGGAATTTCTCCGGTTAGTTGGTTGCCTTGAAGGATGAGACTGACAAGGTTAAGGCAACCCGATATGTTTTTGGGAATTTCACCAACCAATGAATTGTTGTCTAGTCGTAAGACACGAAGGCGGCGCAGCTGGCCGACTTGTGGAGGGATTTCATGATCAAGACTGTTGTTATGGAGCCACAATTGCCTTAGGAAGCTGAGATTCCCAATATGAGGAGAGATTGATCCGGACAATCCTTGTGATTGCAAGTCCAGGAACGTGACCCTTGGGTGTCTTCGGTTGCACGTAACACCATACCACCGGCAAAACCCAATGCTATTGTTCCATGAGTTGAGCATGCCGAAAGGATCTCCAGATATGCCGGCCTTAAACGCAAGGAGCGCGAGTCTGTCCGTTTCGTTGGTAGTGGAGGAGACTTGGTTAAAGCACAGTGCGAGAGCAATACCAAGAAGCAGGTGGCATGATTGAAACCCTGCAAAACTAATGCCTGCGGGTTTCATGACTCAAAGCCCCAGGAAGCGGGGTAGATATGAAATCAAGGCAACAAGAAACAAGAGGCGAGATCAGTGCTAATTGACAGTGTGAAGAGATTTATAAGAAGGTTGTCGAATTCTCGGATCATATTTATAGAACAGTCGGCGGTCATTTCAGGGCCACTCCATTCGTCCGTTCGTCCTCTCCTCACGTCTGTTCCTTTGATGTCGCCATCGTATCCACCAGAGTGTCCACCAAGTTGAAGGGCAATCATCATGACATTGGACGATTTGATTTGAGATTTCTCGTCAACTAAGCACGCTGTAAACCCCAAAACTCTTAAGAAAACCCCTTCATGACTTCAATTGGACAATTTTCCAACACCAATTTAACAATGGATGACAGAGATCTCTCTTGCATTAGCTTTGACAGAGCCAAATGGAGTCGTTCTAATATCCACCGACGAAGTGGGTGACTGCGACTCACACCCTCAAATGGCTCCACAAGGAGTCCCACATGCAATCTAGTCAATGAAAATTAAGGAGGAAAAAAGAGTTCTTAACATGGCGTAATTGGTGGCCACAAAAAGTCCATGTAATCAAGTAGCAATATTACTCTCTTGTTCGTCATTCCTAATACTCCGTTCGTTTCACGGAAAACAACTTCCAGAAAAGCATTTTTCGGATTTTCCGGCATTCGTTTCGCGGAAAATAAACTAGTAATAGAAAACATTTTCCACCAATGGAAAAAAAAACATCTTCAAAAGTGAGGAAAATGTTTTCCGCTTTGTAGAAAGCGGAAAACATTTTTTATATCTTCTTTCACCTCATTTTCTTTCAAATAAAACACATTTTCCTTTTTTTAAAAAAAATTGAGTTTTTTATTCTTTATTTTTTATTTTTTATTCTTTTCTTTTCTTTTTTTTATTTTCTTTCTTTTTTCTTTTTTGTCTTCTTCCTTGGCCGGTTGCCGACCACCGTCCGCCTCGCTTGATATGGCAAGCTCGAGCTCTCCCGAGGTCGCCAGAGCCTCGTCGACTTCTGGTCACCTCAGGCGAGGCTCAGCCTCACTCAACACGTCGAATCTAGCAAGGCCTAAGCTCGACCTCGCCACCGGCTGATCGACAGCTATTGCCGTGGCAGGCGACCGGCCAAGGAAGAAGACAAACAAAAAAGAAAAGGAAAATAAAGAAAAATAATTGAAAATCCAATACCAAATGGCGGAAAATATTTTTCCAGTTCATTTTCAAGTCTCAACCGAATACCAGAAAATATTACCGACTTTTCGGGAAACATTTTCCATCAACATCACATTTTCCGCGAAACGAACGGAGCCTAAATTCGATTAGCCTTTGGGGACACAAGATGTGTTTAATAGTTTGGACTCGATTAATTTAATGGCTGTACTAAAAAACTGCATCATTCATGTATACCGAATTCGAGACCATCATGTATCTCTGGTAGAGCTATCACAGCGTTGATATATTTCTTTGGGAAATTAGGTCATATATATCCATAAAAGCAGGTTATATAGATGTACAAATCTCACCTTGAAAGTTCCGATTACAATGTTTAACTCCCACTCTCTGTTCCGTGGAAGAAGCAGAGGCAAAATCCATGGAGTAAAAGTGGTTCCTTGTGGTTAATTTATGCTATTATCTCCACTACCTATCCAGACTACCTCACATTCAGCAAATAGAACCGCTCATAGTCCCAAGATGCATGACACAACCACGAGCCACCTGGACGAACCGTCAACATTGTGCATCAATTCTTCCTTTGGTTATACAAACTTAGTCGGAGAACGAGCTGAACGCTTTCCATCATCGATAGGGAATCTCTCTAGTAGTCTGGAGTGGCTTCACATGGAGAATTCCAAGCTCATTGGTGGCATTCCTAGCGAGGTTGGCAATTTACGTGGCTTGACATTTTTCAATGTCGGAGATAACGAGTTGACCAGGCCTATTCCCACGATGATCGCGAGGATACGGAAGCTTCAAGGATTGTATCTTCAGGACAAGAAGCTGTGAGGGCCGGTTCCTGAAGACATCTGTGACCTCCCAAGCTTGGCTTTCTTATCTTTGAGCAGCAACAAGCTCGATGGATCAATACTTTTGTGCATTGACAACCTTACTTCTTTAGGAGAGCTCTACTTGGGCTCTAACCGGTTAACAGGCACTATACCCAATTCATTATGGAGTCTAAGGGCACGCATGGAATCCATTCTGGAGCAAAATTTCTGCTCCAGAATGCATTCCGAAACAGAAATGCGTTTGTTAAAAAATTTTCGGAATGCATTCTGGAGCGATTTTTGCATTCTGGAGCAAAAATGCGTTTGGTAAAAATACATTCTTTTTTTGGTTTCAGAATGAGTTTTTGCTTCCAGAATGTGTTTTGGGCCAAAAAAAAGAAGCTACTTTTTGTAGCTTCTTGATTCCGGAATGCATTCTCCCTATTTTCTCACAAACTTTTTTTTTCAAAAAATGCATAAAAATTGAAAAATTCTAGAAAAATTCATAAAAATTTCCAGAAAATAAAAAAAAGTCAGATTTCTGGAAAATATGAAATTTGGTGAATTTTTTTTAAAAAAATAAAATAAAATTTCAAAAATTTCAAAACTTCACAGAATAGCTTAAAATACATGTGGCCACCCACTTTGAGTGAAATTTAAATTTTTTGAGGTGCCCAAAAAAAATCAAAAATTTCAAAACTTCACAAAATGGCTTAAAATACATGTGGCCACCTACTTTGAGTGAAATTTAAATTTTTTGAGGTGCCCAAAAAAAAGAAAAATAATAAAAAAATTTCAAAACTTCACAGAATGGCTTAGAATATCTATAGCAACCCACTTTGAGTGAAATTTAAATTTTTTGAGGTACCCAAAAAAATAAAAAACTTCAAAAAATGGCTTAGAATACCTGTGGCTATCCACTTTGAGTGAAATTTAAATTTTTTTAGGTGCCAAAAAAAATTTAAAAAAAATCAAAAATTTCAAAACTTTACAGAATGGCTTATAATACATGTGGCCACCCACTTTGAGTAAAATTTAAATTTTTTAAGGTGCAAAAAAAATCAACAAATCAAAACAGATTTCTGTTCCAGAAATCAATTTCTGGAGCAGAATTAGTCATGTTTTACCAAACAGATTTCTCCTCCAGAAATCAATTTCTGGAGCAGAATGGTTACCATTCGCACCCTAAATAACATGATGATGTTAAGTATGTCCACAAATTTTCTGAGAGGCAATCTTTCTCTCGGAGTCGAGAATATGATGGCAGTGACCGCTGTAGATCTATCAGGAAACCAACTGTCAGGCGAAAGACCTAACTTCATTGAAATCCTTCAAAACATGTTGGACTTCTCTCAAGCGCATAACACGTTTCGAGGTGATATTGCTAAATCATTTGGAAAGCTGGTGAGCTTGGAGTCTCTGGATTTATCAAGGAATATCCTGACCGGGCCGAGCCCCAAGTCGTTGGAGTCGCTATCATACCTCAAATACTTGAACCTTTCTTTCAATCACTTATCTGGGAGATTCCTTCAGGAGGCCCTTTTGCAAACTTTCCGGCTCAATCATTTGTAGGAAATTAAGCGCTTTGTGGCGATCCTCATCTAAAACTTCCTCCATGCCCTTCCACTGCCAATCATCAATCACAGGCTACAAAATCGCGCCTGCTAAGGATTCTTCTACTGTCTGGTAGTAATACTTGCTTTAGGCCTTTTGTTTGTTCTGGCAAGGTATTTGAGGAGATAGAGAGCTTTCAACAGGGGAAGTTTCGATTACCTTCGCATCGAGAAGAAGGATAAGCTACTAGGAAGTTCCACAGGTGACCGATGCTCTAAGTCCAAGCAACTTGTTAGGAGCGAGGAGTTTCAGCTCGGTTTACAAAGGAACACTGTTGGATGGCCTAAGCATCGCAGTGAAGGTCTTCCATTTGGAACTAGGAGCTCTTAAGAGTTTCAAAGCGGAATGTGAGGTACTGAGAAACATTTGCCACCGTAATCTCGTGAAGATCATCAGCAGCTGTTGTAACCTCAATTTCAGAGCATTGATTCTGGAGTATATTGCAAATAGAAGCCTAGAGAACTAATTTACACTGATGGGTAATATTTAGATAGCCTACAGAGACTCGATATCATGATAGATGTCGCGTCTGGACTCGAGTATCTGCATGAAGGGTATTCCATTACCATTGTTCACTGCGTTTGAAACCGAGCAACGTCCTACTTGGCAAAGATTCGGTTGCTTGCCTTGGTGACTTTGGCATCGCCAAACTTCTAGGTGAAGAGAAGTCGATGACTTGAACGGAGACCCTCGCCACCAACTGGGTACATGGCACCAGGTGATGATCATTTCCTTCCACTTTCGCCATATAGTGCACCAACATGTTGCATGAACTGAAAATCTGTCGTATAAAGAGTTACGAAAACCGGTTCACGTGTTATGTGTCTTCATTTGTAGAGTACGGTTAGGTCAGATTTGTTTCCACAAGGGGCAATGTGTACGGGGTTAGGTCAGATTTGTTTCCACAAGGGGCGATGTGTACGGCTATGGAATCTTGCTCGTAGAAACTTTCACAGGAAAGAGGCCGATGGATGAGACATTTTCCAGGGAAGAAAGCTTGAAGCGCTGGATCGAGTAGTCTTCCTAGTGCACTTGGAGACATCCTAGATGCGAATCTATTGAGCAGCAAAGAGCCGACTGCTGCGAAACTGGACTGCCTGTCTTCAATCCTGGAGTTGGCTGTGCATTGTTGTGCTGAGTTGAAGGAGGAATGCGCATGAATAATGTGCTTGCAAAACTCATGAAGATCAAAACGGTTCTTGAGCAAATGTCACGATCATTCGCTCCTCCTGTTCTATGCTGTCAAAATAAAAGTTCCTGCGTTTCTTGATATTTGAAACTGCTGCTTCCGGATGATCAATGAGAATCAAGCAAGCAAACCGAAGCCCGTTATCCAACAGCAATTGGTTAAGTACACTACTCGTGTCAAAAAGACCGGCAATCCCCAAAAATCAAGACTTCCTAGGATAACAAGGTCACAGTAAGAAGCCGATACTGTTGAGTTCCTCGATAAGCAAAGCACAACAGCAAACTCCTTTCAACAAAGAATAAGGGCACTTCTCAAGAACGACCAAATGACTGCGTTTTCCTACTTGTGTTGAATTCATCTTCTTTGCATTAGAGCCATACCCACAACCGAAGCCGAAATCAATTATCAGTTTCACACATTCATGCCTAACTACAACTCCTGCGACTTGATTTTCAAGAAAGCCATACTTATAGCAATGGCAGTCGATTAGGAATCCGCTATCCAGATACATTGTTACATGTAAAAAGAAATAAGAAAACTTTGCAGTCTGGCGGACCAAGGAAAAAGCCGCAAACAAAATGAATATTCTCCTTCTGGATTAATTCCAACACAGTCAAAACTCTAAATTTACTCGTCCTCTTGGCTGCGCAACCTAGCCAACTTGTTCGTAACAACGACATCAAGCTGTGCAGCTCGTTCGACGATCTCCTTCCTCTTTCTTGTGGAGACATTGTGAGCAATCTCCGCACAATACGTCCTAAACAATTGGGGCAAACAGATTGGCATTATTAATGTGGCAAAGTAAAGTAGCAGCTTCACAAGCTAATTATGCACCTGGAAGTCAACTAGTACCTGTTATGCATCATTAATAATTCAAGCTCCTTTGCATTGTGCACAACAAATTTCTTGAAACCATTAGGAAGATAATGGCGAGTCTTCTTGTCCGATCCATAACCAATATTTGGCATCAAAGTACATCCCTTAAACTTTCTTCTTACTCGGGAATCAATACCTTTGGGCCGACGCCAGTTTGTCTGTTAACAATGAACCACACGGTGAGAACCAATACAACCATCCCCACAAATCTCACATGTTTAACAATCAGCCCCACAAATCTTAAATGGTTAACGTGAGAGCCGAGAAAATCTTCTATTTCGAATCACAAAAAGAATGAAAAAACTAGGCACGGCCATGAGAAAAAGCCATGTCAGATGGATACAAAATGTGATCAGGGATAAAGTAACTGTTAGCCAGTAGATATGAAGCTAACGGTGTCGCAAGACCTGTTCAGGTGTTTTCTTTTTGCCCAGAAAAACGAAATGTCCAGCTACATAATTAAAATCTGGACATCAGATACCATGGGCAGAAACTCTTTCAAGAAAGATAAGAAAATCGACACCAAAAACATAAAAAGAAAGGAGAAAATAACGAGATTTGCAATCTCAGCCGAAAGATGGTGATAATTCTAGTTATAATCACTGGAGAATCATGATAATGGGACGTTTGCATCACAGATTGCAAAAAAGAAACGAACGCAGAATGTCTAGACAGGTCAACTGAAACAAAAAATGATTAAAACACTTCCAAGCCAAGTTCTAAGACTAACTCGGTCAGCTGGTGGTGCAGGTTAAAAAATCATCATCTAACAGTAGAATCATTGGATGGAAATCATCATATCCACACAATCATGATAAAGGGTAGTTTGCATCATACATTGCAGAAATATGAAGGAACCCAGGACATCAAGACAGTTTCATGGAAAAAAAATGATTAAACCAATTCCAAGACAAGTTCTAGAATTGAATGGGATCAGATGGTAGTGCATGTTAATATTCATCATCCAACAGCAGAAATATTGGGTACAAATCATCATATCCCATTGCAGAATCTTAGACAAAAACTTGTCCAGAAAAAAGAAAGAATACAGATACTTAAGTGTCAAAAACCAAAAAAATGTAACGGCTACTAATTTTTCAATAGTAATGTGCAATGCATTTGCATGTCCTCATTTGATCGGATGAGACCCATGAATTTCCAATGCAGAGGCCCCCCCAAGGGGTTTATTAAATTGGGTGTACTTAGCTAACGTAGTGTGAAATAGTCCATGAAGAAAATGATTACTATTTCCGCAGTGAGCACTCCATTAACCAGTTTCTCGCGACTATAAGCTAGGGATCAGATAGTCGATCGCTTATCACCATCATGCGTCAAGAGAAGCATGTAAGACTGGGTGTCATGATCTATCATCAAATCCTTTTGACGTTTCTTCTACAAAAACAAAGTAACTTAAAATAGACCCAAGATTACAGTTGAGCCATGATTCAAAATAAAATCTGCTCAGAAGTCGAACACAGAACAAAAAAAAAAAAAACAAATTTCGGCAACTCTCGTCTATAAAAACCGGAATAGCAACCAATACTTCTCACAAGGAAGAGCAGGACAGAAGACTTTCAGGTGACTCGAAAAAGTGATGAGAAAATGGATAAAGAGTACTCAAGAATCAGATACAGTGTTAATCACCACCAATGCATCTGCTGATGCAAGTAAGACTGGGTGTCAAAACATCTCTATCATCATGTTCTTAAAACAAAACCAGATTCAATCAAAATTAATCTTAACAGCAAGAAAAACACCTCAAGGAGGAAGACTAGAAAATCAGTTGCGAAAAATGTAAAGCACAAATGAAAAGAACTGAACCATACAATTTCAAGCAAACAGATGTTTTGATATCAGATAAAAATGTCAATCACCACCGTGCATCGACAGATGCAAGTAAGACTGGGGCGACAAAACACTATCATCATCTATCTCTGCGAAACAACGTCGGACCAAACCGACAACATGGAACCCTTAAGCCCATGAAAGGCGGGCAAAAGCATCGACTGAACAGAAAACAATAACCCCAAAAAAAAGCAATTTTCGAAGAAAGAAAACAACCAACATGAATTACAACAACTGATTCAGCTACAACAACATATGACAACATCAAGAACAAGCGAAAACAGGGGAACGAAAAATCAGAACGTACGCTAAAATCAACAAACACGAGAAAAGCCTATACCTTGACAGAGATCTTGCGGTCGCTCTGGGGCCTCTTGAACTGCTTGACCCGCTTCTTCACGATCCTCTTCGACAACAGGGGCACCGCCATTTTCGCCTCCCCACCTCCTTCATTCGCCCATGACAAGCAAAACCCACGTCAGAATCATCATTTACACACAGACCCAGAACAAACCCATCTTCACAAACGCAAATTATTGACTACAGTGACTCCATTCAAGCGACAGAGCGTTCCAAAAGGCCTAGAACAATGACACTACCAAGCAAACCATCACACGCAAACTAGCTAAGAGCTCCACACAGAGAGAGAGAGAGAGAGAGAGAGAGATTACGGCGAGAGAACTAGGGTTTGAGGGGCCGACGAGGTGAGGAGCGAACGAGGAAGATGGAGGATTATATAGAGGCGCTCGCGGTCGCTGCTAGGGTTTCGTTTTTCGGCGAGCTCTTGCTTGCGGGTCTGTTTGGCTGGTCGTATACGGATAGCCCTAGGACCAGGAGCACGAGGATCCTAACTTAAGGTGAATCCGAACATTCAAGTGTGTGAATTCAAGATGCGTGTTATTCCTCTTGGCAAAATCTTTTCGTTTAAGATAAATCCATGAACATCAAATGACATGTTTGTTAACTTTTCGAATCACGGTCATTATTGAGAGTTTCCCGTTATTCTTTTATAAATATTGATAAACAAAACAATTTGTATTCACTGAAAGCAAGCTATATAAAAGAAGAATCACTCTTTATGCGAAGAGCTTTACTTGTATTTATAAAGGACAACTTATATCTATTACAAATTATTTAGTTTGCCAAGAATGACCGGCTTTTATAAAACATAATTATCCATCTCATTCATAAAGATATGGGCAAAAGGACACTATAAGTAAGGGTGTCAAAAAAGCCCGCGCCGGTCCGGCCCGGCCCGCGCCGACCCAGCCCGACCCTAAAATTTGGGGTATTTTGGGATTGGGTCTTAGTCTTCTTCTAATAGGGCTTTTAGATGTGGGTATTATTAGGGTTGGGCTAGGGTCAGGCCCGACCCATTGACACTATAGACCCACCCACAAATCTCTCTCTTTCCCCTTCTCTCTCCTCTCTCACGATGAAACCCTACATCTAAGCCAACAGAAGGACTGTTCTTAATCGCCTGAGCAAAGAGGCGCCATGGCTTCGAAGCTCAGAGAAGTCACGACAGCGCTAGCAATCGCGGCCACCAGGCGCCCCCTCACCATGCCGCTCCAATCTCGGTCGTTTGTCTCTGCCGCCGCCTCGTGACCCGGCGACGATGGGACATCCGCGTCCCCTAGCTCCGGCAGCTCTGGCGAGCTGTACCGAGAGCTGTGGGCACTGCGTGATTGGACGAAGTCCCCGCTAGCCGTGAACCCGAGCCCAAAGACCCGAAACGGCTGACCGTGCGCGGCTGGGCTGGGCTAATGGACGGCCGGGCTTCACGGGCAATGGGGGCTTCTGGCCTCCGGGGAGCGACGGCCTCGTATGTGCACCTCACCGGCAGAGGAGGCAGTGGCGGTGGCGTAGGCGGCTGAGCTGGAGATTTCGCCGCTGGTGGAGGCGGAGGAGACGTTGGAGACGGAGGCGTGCGGAGAAAGAACGTGTCCACCGGGATCACTTTGACATCATCCTCATCGATGGCACTTCGCCATCTCCGAAGGGGGTTTACTTGCTGCTGACCTCAAAATCGTCTAAGAATAAGTTAAAACCCGACCCGACCCTCTCTTGGGTGTGCACGATGAACAGGGTCTCGGGTGGGTCTGGGCGGGTCAAGCACGACCC